ATTTTTGGTATATTATTATGTAGCCCTGATGGACACATTAGTAATGTTTTTTAACTTTTGACTCAAGAGCGCCCCCTATAATATTCCAACCCTTATATCTCAATGATATATCATCCGATCTGCACCAGATTTTTATGGCATAATGTGTGACCATGTTTAAACACATTGTTAGTGTTGTTTAAAATTTGACTCAAGTGCGCCCCCTAGATTATTCAAACTGTTATATCTCAGTGATATGTCATCCGATCTGGACCAGATTTTGGGTGCATCATTACTGAGAGCTTATGGACATTTTAGTTTTGTTGTTTAATATTTGACTCAAGGGCGCCCCCTACATTATTCAAACTGTTTTGTCTCAGTGACGTGTCATCCGATCTGGACCAGATTTTTGGTGTGTGATTAGTGAGCACTTAAACACACAATGGTATTGTTGTTTTACTTTTGACTCAAGTGCGCCCCCTAGGTAAATCAAACTGTTATAGCTCAGTGATATATTGTCCGATCTGCTTCAGATTTTTGGTGCTTGACTAGTGAGGACTTATGGACGCAGTGGTGTTGTTGTTTAATATTTGACTCAAGTGCGCCCCCTAGATAATTCAAACTGTTATATATCAGTGATATATCGTCCGATCTGCACCAGATTTTTGGTGCTTGACTAGTGAGGACTTATGGACGCAGTGGTGTTGTTGTTTAATATTTGACTCAAGTGCGCCCCCTACATTATTACAATAGGTATATATGCGGTCGCAGCTTATGTCAAAGGTTTGGCGAATGCGCACTCCAGAGAACGGGCGCGTGACTGTAGCGTGAGCGTTCTCGATGGCGACCGGGAAGGGTCGCTGCAGTTCCCGCGGTCGCCATGAGGCCGCAGCGGCGCTTCGCTGCGAGGGCCTTCAACGCTGCTTGCAGCTTTAATTCTGTTTGTTCTGCACACTCTCTCTCGTTCAGCACAGCCATGGAGAGTCGTCGGTGCTCTGCGCTGTTGCCTGCATAAAAGTTTGATTCAGTCGTCTTTTTCCTTTTTACTGGGACGGTTGTATTTTGACACAGCCTCGGCCAGCTGCTCCTCAGCAGACACAGCTCTCAAAGATCCACGTCTGCAGCCACTTTACATAAACAAACACGCGCACAAAGTTCTGACCAATGTGACGCGTACCCCGTATAAAAAAGGGGAGGCACTGCGCAAGCCGGGGTGCCAGCGGGTGGTAAGAGTAGAAAACTATGCAGATTTCGTCATACACCCACGTCAGCGAGACACAAGAACTCTCATTGACTATAAATCTGCCTTCACTTCCTGCTTGGATGATGTTTAAAATAATTTATTTTCCTCTACAAATTAAAATCAAGTGTTTCACGTGTCAAATTCAAGGCCCATGGGCCAAATCTGGCCTTGGTTAACATCTATCTGGCCCCTCAAGATGATAGCAGTGTTTCCCCTACTATTATACCCCTGGTTGACAACTGCTGGCACTGATGTGGCGTTAAGCTAGCGGTACGCAGTACAGACACGCTAGCTAAAAAGCTACATAGGTAGCGCTGCATTTCCCTCACGCTGAGCCTCCCCCTCACCCAGTCGACAGTTAATGTATCGACTGAAACTGGCCCGCGGCTTGGACCACTTTTTAATTTTGGCTCCTTTTTGTAACGGAGTTTGACACCCCTGGTTTATTTGGTGCTACATATTTATAGATACATGATCTAATTTAATCCAGTCAAACACAAATTTAGTCTACCTGGTTAATAAAACACCTAAAAATCACACATTCTGTGTCCTGAAACATCGTAATAAATTAACAGGGTAAAGTTTGATGTTGCAGAGATTAAAAATAAACTGACAACACGGTCTGAGTAATAAATAACTTTTCAAAGGAACTTGTGCAAGAAGTTTCTCCCCAGCTGCGTTTTATAAAGCAGCCGTTTGATTGGCTGACACGGTTTTACATGACAAACAGGCCACTCAATGAAACTGAGCCGTATTTCATAAACTAAGTCAGCTTTGTACAGCAGAACTGCCAAGGTGAGACAATATTAGAGAGGGAGACATTTCATTCTTCTCTTTATGAGGCAGAGTGGCCTAAATAAGGAGGGACGATGAAAACATCTGTAGACAATAAAAACAACTGTATTGTTTACTCAGCCAGATTAAATGGCTGCCAGCGCGAAAGCCGATACCTTTCTCCCAAATAAAAGGCGAAGCAAGGAGTGTTGTAAATGTGAGATGCTAATAAAAAGCTGTTATTTTTTATGGCTTCCAGTTCTTGGAGTTTTAACGAGGAAGGTATGTAATTGGAAAGCAACGGGGGGAGGAAAAGGAGGAGGGGTGAACGGCAGCAGATGGTGCACAGGAGGTTACTTTGTGGCAAAATCTGTGGTAGATGGAGATAAAAAAAAAATCATAAGAGCAGAAAACTTGTTGGGTCCTGACAGAGCGGAGCTTCTATCTGATCTTTGACGATTCTATCAGGATTTAGATTGTATAGATTTAGAGAAGTGCTTTGGCACACTAACGGAAAAATAAAACACCAACATGATGATATGAGACTGTTTAAATTATTAAAAGTCCACTGATGCACCACTCGAACGGTACCGTATTTTCCAACGTATAAGTCGCAATTTTTTTGCATAGATTTGTCAGTCCTGCGACTTGCACGCCGAAGCGACTTGTCTGCCTTTTGATTTTCCCATATTCATAACACAATTTTTGACTGACACTTTAAATTTCTAAGAAGTGCGACAGCGAGGCCTCCCGTGCACGCTCGCTTCACTCTGCTGGTGCAGGCGGAGGAACGCTGGAGAGCTAGCGGCTCCAGACGCGATGGATGGCGCCACAATGCCCAGGCGAAATTAAGCTGTTTTGACCATTAAATAAATGCATAATAAACGTGACGGTAGGCCTGTCATGATAACAAATTTTACTGGGCGACTAATTGTCTCAGAAATTATTGCGATAAACGATAATATTGTTTGAAATTGAACAATAATTAATTGTCAAATTTTAGAAGAAATGTTGATTTGTTTGGCTGTTGAACCTTTTTTGACCACCTGATGGCAGTATAGGACAGTTTGAACCAAAGGATGGATAGTTGAGCAGCGTCTCTTTAAGAAAAATGGGAGGGAGGGCCCTTGACGTGACATGGGCCGACATGGTGACATGACGCTCGGTGGTTTGAGCTCTTTAGCATAGCATTTTTCACGGAAAGCTTTTAATTAAAAAAAATCAGTAAACAAGTTCTCCGCTTCTTTTTGCAGAGAAAAACAACTTTCAACTGTGAATTTTGGAGCTTCGACAAGACGGAGGTTTATTCCTGAGGTCGGCCTGTTAGCTTAGCTCGTAGCTTAGCTTCTCCGCTTAGCTGCTTTTAACGACCCAAAAACACTATTTTGGACGGTTAAAACAGGTTTTAAAGAGAAAGGGAGAGGTCAGTGAAGAGCACCCGGGTGGAGCCGTGTCTTCTGTAGAAAGAGAGACACGATGCAATGATAAAGCCAGTAAATGAAAATGAGGTTGATAATTTTCATTCATCATGCGATTGACTTATTGTTTATTGCGACGGCGAAGCAACTTATATACGTTTTTTCCTCTTCATGATGTTTTTTATTACTGCTGCAACTTACACTCTGGAGTGACTGGAACGCTGGAAAATACAGTATTTTTCATGCCCTAATAAAGGAAAGTGTAGAGCCCCCCCAGAGCCAAATGTGCCATCCATCCCTTTAAAACTCAAATTCTGTTCATCTCATTATGACTTCCAATTTACAAGGACTCTTTTGGACCAGAACTAATTAAGCAGACAGATTAGATAAAACGAACTGAGTCAAAGCTAATTACCTTGTGCTGGGCTGGCTGTAATCAGCAGTTAAATGAGCATTTAACGCCGCCGTGCCCTCAGCGACCTCGGCAGCCGTAGCAGCAGTAGGGTTGGAAGCGAAAGTGGCAGCAGCAGCGGTACAGGTTCTGTTACAGCGGTCGTCAGGCCCAGGAGCCGGCACCGAGTCGACTGAACAGATACTGGAGCGGGAGGAGATCTCGCTGTGACTCGAGTCCGACAGGTTGTCCATTTTAGCGCCTGGGACGGCGCAACCTGAGGAGGAGCATCGGAAATGTTGAGATTTACAGTAAAAGCAGCTAAAAATGTAGAATAAATGTGAAAATGCAAAACAAACACCTAAAGTTCTGCAAATAAAACGACTGAAACAAGACTTAAAAGACACACTTTAGACTTTATGTAACTACATAAACTCAAAGGAACTCACAAGCACAAACTGCCTCTGTCAGTTACAAATCGTCATGAGTCTTGTTTCGTATTTCTCTTTGTTCGTGGTTAAAACATCGACGTGAACAGAACACCTGCTTTGACACGATTTTCTACGCTTACAGAAACATAACAACATGCAAACGATCACGCGTTGGGGCAACTCAGAGGTCAACCTGAACTGATTACTCATCTGCGGTTGCTGCCTCAGATATTCAGTTTTGTCTCCGAGCGCCATCGTTTCCTTTAAACACTCGATGCAAACTCTCAGGCATCACCTTTCTGTGGACCATCGGAGACCTGGGGCTCCTGCGCTTACGCAACACTTACTTTTGTGCCTCAAAAATGAAACGCCATCACTTATAAAAACACAGAACAATGGGTTTTTCAACTGTTTCAGTGTCTCAGACTGTCTTTCTCCTGGCGTGTCTGTTCCTGCACAGCCAGAGGAAGGGGTTGGGGCTGACTGATCTCCTGGCTCTCTGCTCTGTCTGTCCTTGTGTCCCATGCTGTGGTTCAGATTGTACATGTTTCTGCAACGGCTTCTCCCTGGACTGACTTCTTTCCCTCAGTACCCTGAAAGGTGACATCAGCCTTGCCCTGATGGGTGACACAGGAGGTTTTGGTCTCGTGAAACAGGATTGGGGAGGAGGTGGAGTCACGAGTCCTGCCTCTGGATGACAGAGTGGAGATCTATGAGCCTCCATACATTTCAGTGCTGGTGTCCACAGTAACACCGGCTCTGCGTCTGCCTGAGCGCCCCGTTTGCTCTGCTGTCTGGATCTTCCTCTCTGCTCTGATGAACACAAGCCTCTCTGAGCTGCGTCTATCTCCTCTGTTATGTCTTCCAGCTCCGCGCCTCTTTCCCTGCTGCTGTCTCGGCTGTGCTGACTGGTCATCAGCAGGATCCTCTTGTGGAGAAGGGCCCCACCTATGCCGTAGCTGCGCAGGCTGACGCCGGTCTTTGTGCTGGCGTCGCTGGTCAGAGACGATGAGGATCCTGATAGGTTCATCTGGCTGGAGTTCTGGGACTTTGTCACGCCTCCCACTGAAACGATGATAATCAAAGTTGAAATGAAAGAAGAGATAAAACAGTACGTGTCTGTAATAAGAAAACGTTCAGCAATTAGGGAAAAATGTAGAGCTCCCCAAAAATATTATATTTAGTTAAACAATGAAATGCAGCTGATGAATATTCTTCAGAGAACAAAATGAAGGAAACGATAGAAGGTGAAACGGTTTGGTTGCAGACCTTTGCGTGGAGAGCCCTGAGGCGACACCGTGGGGCTGGAGTGGAGCGAAGAGACGGTTGAAATGGTGTCATCGGACGGCCTCTTGGAGCTCCACTCGTCTGAGGAGCTCACTGGAGGTTTCTTCACCACCTGGGGAGAATTTGAATCTGGAAAAAATAAAGGGTACTTACTTATTTTAACAGATCAGAACTATAAACAGCTGTTAACATCAATTATAGGTTTATTAGATGATGATTCCGGACATTTCATTTCTTTATTCTACAACAAGTATGGAAAAATGCAATGGTGCTTAAATCAGTTGTGATATTGAAATTCCTAAAAAAAAAATTAAAAAGAAGTTAAAGAGATGTTTGTGTAATTTAATATAATAAGTAGAGAAATTGCATTTCCTGTGAAAACAGTGTGTGAACGCTTATTGTTGAAAAATTTGCTAAATGTAGCTGAAATGAAAGAACATGCATACATTAGCAAAATAAAGCAGAAAGAACACATAATTGCTGAATTATGTTTAAATAAGCATAAAAAGAGTATACAAATGAGGAAATTGGAAAAAAAAATCTGAAATTAGTAAAAAAAAAAAAAAAAGTAGCTGAAAAGGCAGAAAGCAGTTTAAACTACTATAAGGAAGCAGAAATGTTGAAATGAGATAAAAAATGTGGAATGAGCTGGAAAAGCTAAAATTTACACGAAAAAGTTAAAGCTGAAAAGGCAGAAAAAGCTGAAACTAGCACAACAAGTTGAATTTATTATTAATTTAAATTTATTTAAGCTGAAAGATGTAGAAATTACCTAAAAAATTTGAATTTATCTGAAAATAGCTGAAATTAGCTAAAACATGCTAAAAACAGATAGCTGAAATAGTAGAAAAAACTTAAATTAGCAGAAGCAGAAAGAACAAATGTTTGCGCAATAAGGTTGAAAGAAGCAGAAATGAGCATAAAAAAGTGGAAATTATCTGGAAAAAAAAGCTGAAATGAGCAAAAAACAAGCAGAAAGAAACCTAAATTATCAGAAAGAAACCTAAATTATCAGAAGGAAGTGGAAAAAAGCACACTTTTGCTGAATTAATCTCAAAAAAGTTTAAATGAATGCAAAAAATGTGCTAAAAACTGCTAAACAGAGGCTGAAATAGCAGAAAAAGCCAAAACTGGCATAAATATAAGCTGAAATTAACAGAAAAAAGTTAGAAGCACAAAAATGTTTTGGTTAGTTGACCGAATCTGAAAGGAGCACAAAACAGCTGAAATTAACTGAAAATAGTTTAAATTTGCACAAGGGAGTTGAAAGAAGCTGAAGCAGAACAAAATGTGAAAGGAGCAGTAAAAGGTTGTAAACAGATCTAAAGATGTGAAAGAAGTAAAATGAGCTCAATTCATTTTCTATGAGGAAAAAAAGTGACAGAAAAGACCAAATATTTCAAAAAGCTAAAGAGGCATCAATACCAACGGATCACAATAGAGTGAATGCTTCATGAACATTCACACAGTAAAGTTTAGTTTAGGAGTGCTCACTCGGCGTGCCCGTGTCCTTGGCCGTGCTCTTCTTTCGTAGAGGGTTCAGTGGTACCTGGACTTGGAGGACTTGGGATACCCTGTTCTGAGCTTTCCCCAGGGGCAGAGTGGACCGCTGGGACACCGGAGACATGTCCGACTTATTAGATCTCCTCTCACTCAAGTTTTTGCTCACTGGAAGAAAAACAAACAAAACAAAACAAAAAAACAAGATTTGAACAATAGACGCTTCCCTTCTTGCCAACTTTTCTCTTTATGTTCAGCTCAAACACTCAAAGAGAGCTACTTTAGTTCATCCATCGAGTATATTATTTTGTCAAATGAAGTTGTTGAAGTTCCCTGATTTGGTGGATTATACCATTTTGTCATTCATGTATAGAGCTCATAATAATACATTGCCTTCTAATATCCAAATGCATTGTGTAAAAAGAGCTAGTAATTATAATCTTAAGGGGAAAGATGTTTTTGTTAAACCACAATTCAGAACCAGTTTGAAGGGAAGATCTACCCTAATTCAGGGTGTTGGACTGTGGAACGACTTGGAGTTAGATGTTAAGGAAGCTAAATCAATCTCGGTATTTAAGAAAATGGTAAAAATTCAATTGCTAAAAAAATATATATGAATGTATTTCATGAAAAATGTTGGATATTTGAAATATTACTTGAGTTATTTACTTGTTTCTGATAATTTTCTGAATATGTTTGTTTGAATGGTTTATTAGATAAATAAGGAGCAGATTCAATAAGATTTTTTCTTCATCTGCTACCTTTCATTTTATATTTATAATTGTTTTCTAATTACATATATGTTAATTGATATGTATTTTATTTTGTTATGAAATGAATAAATAAATAAATAAATAAATAAATAAAAGAACACAGCAACAGAAAATATCTTGCAAGAAACATTTCTTTTCAAACAACGTGAGAAATTACCATTAATTTTAAAGAAGTAATTTGGATAGCAAGTTTGCACATATTTAGTAGTTCAATTTAAAAACTGCAGGTACATGTTGGTTTATTCTCTGTTCATACAGTTAAGTTCCAACAGCTTAGCATGGAAGAAAGAAGGATTTTAGAACAAACTGAAAATCTAGTCTGGATAAATGTTTTCAGACTTTACAGCAGTTCATGTGGCTGCAGAATGTTTGCAAAGCCACTAGATGGCAGTGCCAAGGTGATGAATCTAGAATTGGTTCTCAACCAGACAATTTTTTCACTAAAATCCTCTTTAATCTCCACCAATTATCTTTCAGAATTGCTCTTGAAGATACAAAACATGTTTTACTGAAAAGCAGAACAATCTCCTTTAATTCATCAATTCCTCTAAAGCAAAAGCTAACTTACAAGGCGAGGATCAGAGCGTTATTTAACTCATATTTCCTACTTCAATCTAAAAAACGAGATGTTTGACGGTCAGAGTGTTACTCACAGGTGTTGTAAGATGGCTCACACTGCAGGGACATAATTTGGTGCTTCTCCTCATCTGTCTCCACTGTGAGGTTAGAAAGGTATTGTTTCACCTTCCTGGCCATCTGGGCGTCTTCGTACAGCTTCTTAGCGTTCAGGAGGGAGCTGCGGCGCACTCGCTTCTTGTGGGCCCCGCCCTGCACGTCCAGGATGTTGGAGTTGGTGCTGCCTTGACTTAACGACCTGATAGACGAGGGAATGGCAGAAAGTAAAAGCAGAAGTAGGATGAGGTGAAGAGAATGAACAAGGAATGGGAAGAGGATAAACGCAGGTAAAAACGTGGAAATAGAAAGTGAACAGGTAGATTGAGGGAGAGAAAAGAATAAACATTAATGAGCACAACCACAATAAAACAGAGAGGCCTACAAATACCATTTTCACTACAAACTCTGTAAGATTTGTTTAACTGGGACCATGCAGCTGGGATGGAGGCAGCACTCCCTAACGTGCCATGCTGTCACATTACAGAGCAGGACATTCTGTCAGATGGAGGCAAAAAGGGTAAGGGAAACAAAAGATGCACGGTATTTAACGAAGGGATGCAAATATGAACATGAACAATAACGAGTCGTATAGTATTTGGAATTACTTGCCACATTTTACTGTGAACGCTGAGTCAGCGTTCATAATGTTATTGTTGAGTTTATCGTTTCTTCTCTATGTTTTTTGCAACTAGCCTACTTTGTTATACAGTAGTCCCTCGCTACTTCGCGGTTCGACTTTTGCAGACTCGCTCTATCGCGGTTTTTCAAAGTAAAACTTAACGGGGGGGATGTATAGGAGACACATGGTTGTCAACTTTAATATTACTCACGTGATTGGGACAGTACTGAATACTGTACAGTAAAAAGTTAACGAAAAAATAAAATACTTTGAACCAGCGCCACCATTTTGTAGTTTTCTCTCAATAGGCCTTCACTGTATTTCCGCTCATAAGGACTACATTTCCCAGAAGCCAACAGTGCCCCACCCAGAAGCCTCGTTTCCTTCTGCTGAAATACTAAAGGAAAAGTTTTGATCTGATCAGAAAAAGTTTGGCGTTTTTACAGTGACTTTGGCACCTAGCAGATACAGAGAGTCGAATGGAACCCAACAAACCGGACCAGAACTGGACTAGAACCGGGCCTCCAGACCCATCGGTGAATCTAGCCGGCCCACAAGGACTTCCGAGTGGGATGCGTGCCGCCAAAGGTCCGGCAATCCATCTGGAGCTCACCGGGACTTTGATCATCTCTCGGACCACTCAAATGAACCACAGATCCCACGCCGGCCACCCGAAGGTCCCTCCCCACCACAACCAAAAAAATGCGCTTGGCACTCAACGGCTGCACAGAACCAGAGAAGAACCAGCCCTCCAGACCCATCGGTGAATCTTGAGAGCTGGTAGCTGGCCCACAAGGACCTCTGAGAGCAGATGCGCTGGTAAGTAAAATTTAGTAGCTACATATATGCTGTTAAAATTAGTAGGTTTAAGAGTTTAGAACATTGATTGTGGGCTTCGTTGCTACAGGATACATCTGCAGAAATGGAAGCGAGTCGGACCGGAACCGAGAGCTGTTGATGTTCTGCAGAGCTAACAAGTAAAATTTAGTAGCTACGCACACTGTACTGCACATATGTTGTTAAAATGACGTAGGTTTAAGAGTTTAGAACATTGCAAGAGTGTGGGAAGGGTTTATAAAGCCTTAATATATATATAAATACTAAAATAAATATAATGTTCCTACTTTGTAGATTTTCACTTATTGAGGGGGGGGGGGGGGGGGTCTGGAACCCAACACCCGCAATAAACGAGGGACTACTGTATATAAAATACATCAAAATGTTTGGCTTGATTAGAAATAATGTGTTATGACTTTTACTATCATTAACAAACAAAAAGAAACAAATCATGAACATCCATTTAAATCTTTTTAATTCCTTTAAAATCTGTTTGTTGAAATCGACTTCAGTGTAATTTCTCTAACTTTGTCTTCTTATGCTTCATTTAAATACAGTTTGGCTCATTTTCATTTAGCCTTTATTTATCCAGGTAGTCTCATTGAGCCACGAGAACTCATTTTCAAGAAAGACCTGTTTAGGGAGCAGATGGGGGTTAAGGGCCTTGCTCAAGGGCCCAGAGTGGGGCAAATGAGGGTGGGGGGCAGGTGTGGGTGCTTCACCTACCCCACCCACATTTTTGATGTTGTCGGTACTGGGGCTTGAACCGGCAATCTTCTGATCACAGGCCCACCTTCTCTAACCTCTGCGCCACCACTCCCCTTTTGGCTTTTAGAATTTGTTTGGCTTATTTGAGCTTTCAGCTACCAGTTTGCTCATTTTTGCTTTCGGCTTACGTTCAGCTAGTTTTGCATTTACTATATGTTTTAGGGAAGCAAGAACTCATCTGATAAGTATATTATTGGTCTGTAGTTTGTGTTTTATGTCTTTAATGCATTGCATCTCTGTGAGTTTAACAGATATCAGTATATTGTGCAGCTGCATTTAATTCTATCGTGGTTTTATAAATAAACATTAACTAGCTTAACTCAGACATACAATCTACTAAACATGATGGACAGTTAATGGGTTGATGATGGACTTCAGTAGGATTCATGTAAAATGGGCACTGCAATGGAAGGGTTATTCCTACAGAAGCATGGGCAGACACGTTCAGAAATGGTAACAGAAAACATGCAGAGTTTATGGCTGGGGGGGGGGGGGGGGGGTGATGCAGGGGGGATGGGATTTCAGCTGAACCAAGCTGAAACTGGTAACCAGGACAAACTTACCCTAAACTCTTCCACCTCTTCTTCCTGCAAGCAAGAGGCGTGAAGATTGAAGCGTGACTTAAAGACAAGTTCAAAAACTGGGGAGGTGGAGGAGGAGACGAGACTGTGTGGAGTCCATGCCACCATAAACAAACAGCAAATGACTGGAAATGGGAGGACACAGCATGTGGGGCTTTGGCTCCTATTGAAGTGAGGAGTGTGTGAAATGGCCTGACGTGTCTCAGACTCACAACAGAAGCGTGTTTAGTGTCTAAAAAGCTTTGTCTTCTGTGAATTTATTTTAAAACAGACTTCCTGCATCACAAAGTGGGTGATCTTTTCAGGACCTGTGACCTGCAGTATGACGGAGTGCCTGCAGGGGGCAGGCATGCACTGCAGCAGTGACAGACTGTGACAAGACACACAAAACAGGGTGATACCAACAACACACTGCAGCTGTCATCAATTCCACCTCCAGCTCCATTCAGTCCACGCCTTGCATTATCAGCCGGTTACATTCCAGCAAAGGAAGGCAGTCCAAATGCCGAGAGGCACGAACAGAGGAGGAGACGGATGGGAATTGATTGGACTAGACTTGGGAGTGCGTGCCCGATCCAACTTGTGAGGGATCCAGGTTGGCCGGTGGAGTTATGACAGGTGGTTCCCTTTTTGCCAACATTTGTAAAAATCAAATAAATAAATCCTAAACCCTGTCATACGGAGATGTTTTGCTGCAATCTGAAGGTAAACAGGAAGAGTGGGTTTGAAAGACACCACCACAACTTGTCTCACTGGTCATGGTACGCTCACTGGATGCTGTTGAAAATGTAAACCAGCTTATATCTGTGGGAGCACTTTTCCTCAGAGTACCTCAGCTCAAATGAAACGAAAGTTACGTATGTAACTACGGTTCTATGAATCCCGGATGACCGCCAGAGGGCGGTGCTGAAAGCACTGAATGTTCCCTTCGCGCATGCGCTGATTCGAGTAATAATACCAACGGAGTCACAGGTGTGACACGGATGACCAATCAGAGGCTATATAGCCCGACGTCATCCGCTGCTCTGCTCCTACAGAATCTTCTCGCGAAACGCAAGGATTCTGAGTGACGGAGAAGCTCTGGCGGTCATCCGGGATTCATAGAACCGTAGTTACATACGTAACTTTCGTTCTATTTCATCCCTCCTGACCGCCAGAGGGCGGTGCTGAAAGCACTGAATGACTAATATCAACGATGTCACAAGGAATCCTAACACCTACCTCACTGAGGAGGCCCAGAGGACCCTTGTAGAAGAACCTGGCCCAGGGGATGAGGGGTGGCCACGTTAACTCTATAAAATCTGGTGAACGTGCTTGGGGAAGCCCATGATGCAGCAGCACATATTGCTTCCAGCGGAACCCCTCTCAGGGCAGCCCAGGAAGCGGAGACGCTCCTGGTAGAGTGAGCCTTCAAGCCGACCGGCAGGGAGCCGGGCCCTGCAGCATAGGCATGGCAGATGACGTCCACGATCCAGTGGGAGAGGCGCTGTTTGGAAAGAGGACAGCCTAACCTAGGGCCTCCATAACACACAAACAGCTGGTCTGAATGCCTTATCACAGCAGTAGCTGCAACATATGCCTCCAGAGCCCTTACCGGGCACAATAATGCAGACCCCTCACCAGGCGCAGGCTGAAAACGTGCCAGCCTCAACGGTTGGTTAGAGTGAGAGTGAGACAACACCTTTGGTACGAATGCAATGTTTGGCCACAAGGTAACACACGAGCCCTCAGGGCCCCACCTGAGACATGAGGGGCTGATTGAGAGAGCATGTAGCTCGCTGACCCTCTTTGCTGAGGTAATAGCCAACAAAAAAGCCGTCTTACATGAAAGCCACTTGAGGTCCGCCTGCGACAGAGGCTCGAAAGGAGGACGGCACAGAGCTTCGAGAACCAAGGGAAGGTCCCAACCTGGTGCTCGTGGAGCTGTCGGCGGGTGTGACCTACGGGCACCACGCAGAAAAAGAGAGACTAGATTATGGCTCCCTACCGTACAGCCATCAATGCCAGCGTGATTAGATGATATTGCCGCTACATAAACTTTAAGCGTCGAAGGACAGCGACCCTTACCAAGTAGAGACTGGAGAAACTCCAGAATGGTGGGTATTGTACAGGAGACTGGATCCTTCTTGTGATCCGAACACCATTGGGAAAACAGGCGCCACCTGTTTTCGTACTGCTGACGAGTAGAGGGTGCCCTGGCGCCCAGGATGGTGCGTCTGACGGGGCTCGAAACTCCAGTCAGCTGCTGTCCTAGCCTTGCAGTGGCCACACCCACAGCCGAAGACGTTGAGGATTGGGGTGCCATATCAGTCCCCCCAACTGAGACAGCAAGTCCCTTCTGGTCGGAAGACACCATGGGACGCCCTGACATAGACTTCGTAGTAGTGGGAACCATGGTCGCACTGGCCAATACGGAGCCACCAGCAGCATCCTGTGGCCCTCCTCGAGGACTCTCTGAAGGGTTGGCCAAATTAGAGAAAGGGGTGGAAAGGCATATAGAAGGACCCTTGGCCAAGGATGAGCCAATGCGTCCTGGCCTAGCGCACCCGACGCCCCCGTAAGAGAGTACCATAGGGGACACTGAGTCGACTCTTCCGTCGCAAACAGGTCTATCTCTGCCTGACCAAAACGGTCCCAGATCATCAGCACTATGTCTCTGTGGAGGGACCACTCTCCCGGAGGGGACTCTTGGCGGGAGAGAAAATCTGCGACCTGATTGTGTCGCCCTGGCAAGTACGCTGCCCGCAGGGTGGACAGGCGAGGAGAGGCCCATTCCAGGAGCTCTCTGGACACACTCAGAAGTTGTGCTGACCTGGTGCCCCCCTGATGGTTGATGTGGTAGACAACAGAGGTGTTGTCTGACCGAACAAGTACATGCCTCCCTTCCAGGTGAGGCAGGAAGTGCCTGAGTGCCAAGTGCACTGCACGCAGCTCCAGCACATTTATATGCTTGGAATGGTCTCTTTGACCCCAGCGGCCCTGAACCGCTCTGCGTTGCCATACAGCCCCCCATCCCATGGAGCTGGCATCCGTTGTGACCACTTCCCTGCGACACACTACCACTCCCATGGGGACACCCCTGGACAAATAATCTTCGTCCCTCCATGGAGTCAAGGCATGAAGACATGACCACGTCACTGCGAGCTTGCGATGCCTGTGCAGCCTGGCATCCAGGCGAAAGCTGTTGAGCCACCTCTGCAAGGGGCGAAGTGACAGCAGGCCTAAGGGCACCACCCGAGTGACTGATGTCAGCTTGCCGAGTAGTTGCAGGAAGGCAACATAGGGGAGCTGCTTGCCCAGCCTGAACCGATTGACCAGCTGGAGTATGCCGGCCACCCTTTGAGCGGATGGGCGAGCTCTCATTGAAGATGAATCCAGAACCACCCCAAGAAAGGTGGTCGTCTGGGAAGGGATCAGGCAGCTCTTCTCCAGGTTGACATTGAGGCCTAACTGGGACATATGAGCGAGCAGGCGGTTTGTGTCGTGAAAGGCACAGGCCTGAGACGGGGCGCAGAGAAGCCAATCGTCTAAGTACGGCAGAATCTTCACTCCGCAGGCCTGCAGAGGAGAGAGGGCTGCCTTCACGCACCGAGTGAACACCCTTGGGGAGAGAGAGAGCCCGAATGGAAGTACCCGGAACTGCCAGTGGTGACCCCGATAGGCAAACCTGAGAAAGCGGCGATGTTCTGCCGCAATAGGCACATGAAAATATGCATCCTTCAGGTCTACAGACGTGAACCATTCTTCCCTTGTGACAGCTTGAAGGACTTCTGCTGTTGTGAGCATGTGGAAGGGCAGCTCCTTTAGGTACTGGTTGAGTCCCCTCAGGTCTAAAATGGGACGAAACCCGCCCGTCTTCTTTTGCACAAGGAAGTAAGTCGAGTAATAGCCCCTGGGTTGTTGCAGAGGGTCCACTGCCTCTATTGCGCCCTTGGCCAGGAGGGCGGAAAGTTCCTGGTCTAGTGCTTGAGCTTTCACCGGGTCGGCGATTACAGTCATCTTGACCCGGCCTGAGATACGAGGCCGCCGTCGGAACTGTAGCCGGTAACCATGGGTCAGAGTGGCAACCACCCATGGGTCCACGGCGTGAGCAACCCAATAGCTGAGCTGCTGGTGGGAGAAATATCCGACGGTCGGCCTGATGGCATCACCGTCTCCCTCCACGACCCCTAGGGGCCGTGGGGGGGCGGCAGCCAGAGTCCCTGGTCCGAGCCTGCCCAGCTGGTCGGTGGACCAACCCACGAGAGCTCCTGCTGGGCCTTTGCTGAACCGCATGAGGGTAAGGACCACCCGGCCGGTTATGACCCCCAGGCGGCGGCTGCATGCTGGAGCCAGCCGACAGGTGCCTTGGATGCCGAGGAGGTGGAGGGGGCATTGGCCTGCTAAGGCTCGAAAATTGCTGCCTTCTCTGTCGTGCCTGGACAGTCCGTTCCAGTGCTTCCAAGGCAGCCGAACCGAACAACTCCCCCGGCACCACTGGGACACTACGGAGGGCTCTACGGCATGGCTCAGTCAATGCTGACTGAGCTAACCAGACCTGTCGGCGAGCTTGGACCAAGGAGGACATCACACGCCCAAGCTCCCTCGTCATTAGTGCAAAGGCCTGAAGCGCTGCATCGTTAAAGCCCATCGCTGCTGTCGCACCACTAGTCCCCTGAAGGGACGCGGAGAGGGCAAGCATTAGGTGTGCCAAGGAATTACCTAGGCGGCCAGCACGCGCTCCGGCGGCATAGGCTCTGCAGAGGAATTCATCCGTGACACGACACTGAGCTCGTGGGCACCGAACATGACTGCGCAGAGCTTCATCTGGTGACACGATGAGAGAGGCAACAGCAGGTTCTATCGCTGGCATGCGATCCAAGCCTGCTGCAGCCGGCTCATGCATGGCCGCCAACACTCTGCCATCTGCAGAGAGGCGCGCAAAGGCCTTGGGGTCCCGCCAGCAACCATGCAACTCCCTCAGGAACTCCTCTGATGGAGGGACAGAAAAGGAAGGAGGGGTCAGTCCGCGCCTGAAGAAGGCACTTCCAGGGGTGGACGCCTCTGGTTGCGGGACGTCCAGCTGCAGTTGTCTCAGGGCCATACGCATAATGTCCTGCATCGAGCCGTCACCCGACCCACTAACTGCACTCCGAGAAGAAGAGAGTGAAGCTGTCTCTGAGACTCGAGATGAATGCCCGTCCTCCTCACCTAAAAAGTGAGAGGCGGAGGCAGCCAAGGATAGCACATCCTCCTCCACAGCCAGTTCAGGCATGGGTGGGGAGGAGAGTCCAGTTGCTGCCACTGGTTCAGTTCCCAGTTGGTGTACCTGAAAAAGGGACTTCATCTCCGCTAATTCAGCGGAGAGCTGCTCCACCCTTGTGGAGAGGCCCCTATCAGACCTGGCTCGCTTCTTCCCAGGAGGGGCCACAGAGACTGCGGCCTCAGTCCGGCGCTTCGAGCGCCTAGGTGGAGCCTCCTGCCCAGAAGGCGGGAGGTCATCGCCGAGTTTGGGGCGAAACTGGGCCAGCCGGGCCGCCCTCACAGCATGCGACATGAAGCTGCAATTCATGCAGGGGTTCTCTGACAGGGCATCCACCAGATGGTCATGTCCAAGGCAGGCAGGACACAGGTCGTGACCGTCATCTATCTGGAGCATGGCTCCACAGACTGTACAGCAGTGAGAGCCGTCCATGCTCCTTACCCAGCTATGCCCAAGATATTCAGAGGGGCTAGCACCACTAGCTCAGCTGGTAAAAGAGGACAATTGGGAGAGGGGGCGCGAACGCTCGCCTTCACCAATGAAAACAAGGTTAGAACTCAGAGAGGCTAGCACCACTAGCTCAGCTGGTAAAAGAGGACAATTGGGAGAGGGGGCGCGAACGCTCGCCTTCACCAATCAAAACAAGGTCAAAACTCAGAGAGGCTAGCACCACTAGCTCAAATGGTAAAAGAAGACAATTGGGAGAGGGGGCGCGAACGCTCGCCTTCACCAATGAAAACAAGGTTAGAACTCAGAGAGGCTAGCACCACTAGCTCAACTGGTAAAAGAGGACAATTGGGAGAGGGGGTGAGAACACTCGCCTTCACCAATTAAAACAAGGTTTGAACTCAGAGAGGCTAGCACCACTAGCTCAACTGGTAAAAGAAGACAATTGGGAGAGGGGGCGCGAACGCTCGCCTTCACCAATGAAAACAAGGTTAGAACTCAGAGAGGCTAGCACCACTAGCTCAACTGGTAAAAGAGGACAATTGGGAGAGGGGGTGAGAACACTCGCCTTCACCAATTAAAACAAAGTGAAAACTCAGAGAGGCTAGCACCACTAGCTCAGCTGGTAAAAGACGACAATTGGGAGAGGGGGTGAGAACACTCGCCTTCACCAAATAAAACAAGGCCAGGAACTCAGCTGGCTACGTAATAAACAAACTTCGGAGCACGGTCCAACCGACCACGCGGTTGGAGGCCTCCAGTAAACAAGAGCGGAGCGAACGCTACCGCTAACCAATAGCAAAATATAAGCAAAGAACCACTACTCACCTGTGTTAAATCACACACATAGTAGTCATAAACAACGTCGGAGCACAGTCCAGCCGACCACGCGGTTGGAGGTCTCCTACATAGTAGTCAGACGCTGTAATTTGAGAGAGGCGGAAACCGCCGTAGTTCCCAACGAAACAGCAGAAATACCTTTGAACAGGGTTAAACCGTCGCAGCCCTAGGAGGGCGAACACGCTACTCCCGCAAACGGGCAGTCGGGCTTCCGACGACGGTAAAAAGTTCAGAAAAGGTCCAAAGGGCTGAAGCCCTGAATTGAACCGCGCGCGAGAAGAAAATAGGAGCAGAGCAGCGGATGACGTCGGGCTATATAGCCTCTGATTGGTCATCCGTGTCACACCTGTGACTCCGTTGGTATTATTACTCGAATCAGCGCATGCGCGAAGGGAACATTCAGTGCTTTCAGCACCGCCCTCTGGCGGTCAGGAGGGATGAAATAGAACTGCATCAAAGCAAAACCGACCAGTTCACAAAAACTAACCTCTGTCTGAACATGAGGGCCGGGTCCATGTTGGCTGAGGTCATTCGCACCACATGTCTGATCTCCTTGGCGATCATCCGAAGCTTCTCGAAGTTCACGAGGCCATCGACACTGGAGTCATTACCTGAGAGGAGCAGGCAGAATAACGTGCACACACAGAGGCAGTAACAACGTATAAATGATTAATATAAGGGGACACATACGATGCACTTTATAAAAACATCCTTCAAAGTAAAAGTTCTTTGTTCTGCTGTTCTTTTGTTGTCATCGCTCCAGGAGCTCAAACTCCTTTTTTCATACTTTGTTACCTTGAGCAATCTGAGAATGATCTTTTTTAGCTACTTGCACAAAATAGGGAAGCTTTCTGTTTTGTTACCAACAAGGCCGCTGTGATTCATGAAATACTGAAGCTTTAAGGGAGAAGTTCGTCCGCACAGTTTTGACCTGACTCAGTTTGGTTAAAAAAGCAACGCGGGGAAGCCTTCAGCAGAAGTAAGTCCCTGAGAGACCGTTTGACTTTTCACACGGCACACACGAAGTGGGCGACCTTAAGCTAAACTTGATAACCACAATAAGAAGCGTTCTTCTGCACCAAACAGAAAAGACAATTTGCTCTGTAAACCTTTACCTTCATGTAGGAAGGTGAGGTCCTTCTTGACCACTGGGAACAGTGGGATGATGGGTGGCTGCATGCTTTGGCTGCTCAGCACGTTGCGGTACTTGGCCATGTTCCTGGACGGGTCGAAGACGTCCTGCAGGTCCCTGAAGAGCTTCTCGTACTTGCTCGGCAATTTCTCCCACGTGCTCCGCAGCCGAGCCACCGGTGCCAAGTTCAGCCCGCTGTTTGAGAGCAGGAGGAGGTGGAGGGAGGGCGTGGAGGAGAGGAGCACAGAGGCAGAGATAAATGGGTGACGGTGAGGAGAGGAGGCAACATGAGGGTGAAGTGAAGGAAAAAAGTAGTTTAATTTCAGTTTTTAATATCATCGAGTTCCGTTACTATACTGTACATGTACTGCCATACTGTCGCATCAGTCCAAATATGTGTGGAAAAAAAAACAATTACGTTGCTTCGCTGTATAAGTCGCAAGGCGGGCATGCACGGGAGGACAAGAATTTAACAAGATTAACACTTAAAAACAATTATTTGTTTGCTCGCAATTATAACAAAGGTGTGTATCAGTTTAAATTTTACTTAATAAATGCACTTTAATGGTTAAATCAGCTGCATTTCGCCAGGGCGGCGCAGCAAAATGAAGCTGATTTGACGGTTGCGCCAGGCAGACAAAGGTGGCATTTATGGCAAGCCGAATGCATCATTAATAGCCACTTTTACCTATTACATGACACAACGGCATGCCATATATCCCGAGTGCAATCTAACATCTGAAAATGGTAGCGTTCAATGTTTTCAATGTCAGAATGAATGAAAATGGTCATATCTCAGCCAAAAATTGGTTTATAAATATGGAAAATAAAATAAGTCGTTTCAGTGGATGAGTCGTAGGGCATGCAAATTATGCAATAAGATGCAACTTATATGCCGAAAAATAAGTTACATCTTTAAAAAAAACATTTACGCTCTTATTTTGTCATTTTTGTCTCTACTTTTTATGCTGACATTTTTAATAATGAAAGCTATTCCGTTCAAGTTTCTTTTTTATGACCACTCTAAATGAGAATTTCTTGTTGGGCTTGTTGTAATCGATATGACCGTACGGTAAATACAACGCAGAGAACTTTCAGCTGCACTCACTAAACTCACTTTTGATTACATGTTTCTATGAACTGAGGGGTTCTTTCATTTGCGCCTCAGAACACAATCTCCTTCAAAACAGAGATTAAAAAAACTAAACCAACAAACAAAAAAATAAAGACTTTTTCGTTTCACTGCTGGAGCTCTCTCGTCTCTGTCATTCTCCAGCTGATTGAAGCTGAATGAAGAACTGAGACACGAGCAGAAACGACTATTTCTGGAGAACAACTTCAAGGTAACGGATTTTACAAGCTACTGTGGAGACTAAACTCTAAAAGTAAAAATGAAAAAGGCTGGGAATTTTCAACCAAGTAGAAATGTTCTGCACATAGTGAAAGGTTTTCTTAAATATCCTTCAGGGTTGTTTTACGGGCGAGACTTCTCACCTTAATGTGCGTTTAAAACATGATTAATCGAAAAGTTGAAAAGAAGATCTTAAGACTAGCATCTTGGGAAGATCTCTGTGGTCACAACACAGTTTTTGTCCAGAATCACTGTCAAAAAGTAGGAACAAATGCTTTCAAACCTGTTATACATTAAATGGATTTTGTTTTGTTTCAGACTGAGCGAGGCCCACAGTAAAAATCTCAGTGTATCCCCGAGTGTCATGTTTCTTATCCACACAGCAGCAGCAGCTGTGCCCCCTGTCACCCAGCAGGTTCTGCATCAGAGAGACATATGTGCAAAGAAGTCCTGCTGGGAGGAGTGCAACGGGACCAGGAGGTCAGACACTTCTGCTCTGAAGTACCTTTTACAGCCGTGAACAAAAGATCATCACACGGCCGCGCTGCCCAACAGTAGAAGGCTTTCTACAAGAAAAAGAAACATTTGTCCCTCGTGTATCACAAAAAACGAAGGTTGTAGAGCAGTGGTCCTCAAAGGGCGGTCCGCGGTGTACATCCGGCCCACGAGCCGTCTATGTCTGGACGCCACCTACTTTCACGAAAACCAACAGTTTAAAGAGTAACAGACTGAACTATTTGTGTTTATTTTGTGTATTTTAATTTAAGTTGTGCTTAATTTGAGCACTTTTGGGCCATTCGGAATGAGCCACGAGTGTTTCTGTCGGAGCAAAAAAGTGCAAAAGCAAAAAAGTTCATGGAATTCCTGCAAAATCCTTTTTGTCTGAAAGAACATCTCATCTCAGTGAGATAAATGTGAAGCTACAAGGGAAGAACAGCAGTGTGTGAACTGATCTGCGCCGTGCTTTCCACAGAAAACTGGAGGTCTTCAAAAGTGACCTACAGGTAGACTGTTAAATATTTTATACCACACATATCGCCATTCTACTTAACCGTTTTTGATCAGTTATGTTTTTTAACCAAAACTTATTAATCCTTTCTTACATTTTAACCACAGAGGGAACTGCTCCACTTCCCAGAACTTATGGAACAGACCAAAGGAAAGGAAGAAGATTGCTTCTCAACAGTGAACCTGGTCAAGAACAAGAGTGGACTCACAAATGAACACTTGCATCAGTGTCTTCGTCTCTTTTTGTGCCAGAGCTCAAAGTCTTAGTAAAAGACATCACAGGCAATTTCTCTCTTTACAGTATTTGTTTACCAAAATTATTATATAGAGGGGCAGATTTGTTGCTAAATTGAAAAATACATTTTGATTTATTTTAGCAATTATTTAAATTTCTGAATTCCTGCGTTCCTTGAATCTCTTTAGACTTGCACATTTTTTTTGTGTGACCCTTTGTATTAATATAAAAAAATCGAAACTCCACATATTTGCTTTCAAATTTTTTGCAGGAGTGTATTTTTCAATCATCATCAGCATCATCAATCTGAACTGATTTATATTTAAATGAAAATGATTAGGGATGCACGACATTGGATTTTTGGTTGTTATCCAATATGCCAACATGTTAAAACTTATTTGGCTAATAACCGATACCAATACCGATATTTTTCCCCCTAGACCTACTTACAGAGACTACACATCTTTCTCTGCTGTGGAATTAAACTACTACATTATTCTGCATGGTCTTTGTCACTTTGGTCTTCTACCAAATGCAGATGGCAAAAAGGGGTCTGAAAATGATGTAACACTTCTACTTGATTATGTTAAATGTCAACTTTATTTGTGACATTTACTCTCTCTAACACAATGACAACACTCGAACAGTGCACATTTGTAAATTTTCACAAATCTAAACTCAACCTGTTCACAAGCGACAAGTGAAAAGTACATAAGTAGTAGTGAATTTATGGATATACTTGGCAGTTTCTTAAATTAAAAATGAACTTAAAACAGAAGCCTTTTATATTGGTGAGTTATTTTAATGGAATGACCGATATTTAACTTTATCGCTAATATCGGCCGATATCGATACCATGCCGATAATATCGTGCATCCCTAAAAGTGATAGTTTATTGCAATATGTATATTTGTTGTTATGAATGAAAATAACTATTCAGTTATATTAAATGGTCCTTTGACTATTTGAAAAGTGTATTTGCAGATTTTAAACATTTTTATATGAGTACATCTGTTGTAGAGTAACTGACCAACTAATCAGGCAAACTGAATAATATTTTCAGATATTCTGCATCATGAAACAACCTGTTTCTTGTTAGAAAGGTGGTTAAACCCCACACCCACCTGATAATGGCGAACATGGAGTTGAAGTTCTTGCACTCTCTGCAATGCAGGGCGATCTTTATGAAGTGCTTAATGGTCTTCATCCTCTTCAGAGTGTTGGGCTCTTTTAGGATCTCCGTGGCGACCCAGAAGGTTTCCTGGTTTATCACTTCCTCGAACTGCTTCAGATTTCCATACCCAGAAGAGGAGTCCAGTTTGAACAAGTCATCCACGTACCTACAAGCAGGACAGACATGTTAAAAGAAAAAGCTGTGCACAGAAGCAAACTATCAATTAAACAGGCACCATTTTTTTGTCATCTGATGCTATTAGTGTCATGTAATAGAATCCTAAAACACATACTCTGTGGACTCAATGTTCCTGAAGAGCTCAAAGTCTCTCATGGAGAGCTGGGCAGCGACCTCCATGGTGCTGAGCTGCAGCAGAGAGATCTGACTCTCTCTGAGGAGGTCCTGGGCGTCCTCATCGGAACACAACGTTTCTGTCTCCATGTTGTTCTTCAGGTAGTATCTTAAGGGGAAAAGAATGAGATGCACTCAAGGTGAAATGAAGCATTTTTGTTTAAAATGTGGAAACTTTAGAATGAAACTTTAAAAATGTGCAATGCTGGAAGCATTGTAATTTATTATAGGGTGGAGGCGTAAACACTCTGATACTGATGGTGCTGATAAAATATGGAAGACGAGAAACAAACAAGGGAGAAACAAGAGGACAGGTGTGTGAGAAAAATGCATTCCTCTATATGCTTAATCATTAAAAGTTTCCTGGTAGAGCCTTAAGCGGCAGGCCATCTCCATCACGCTATAAGCTTCTTAGTTTATAAATCTAACCCTCCTACTTTCACTCTAATGGAGCTGTAATGTGTTTGTCTTGAAGTGCAGACCCTCAGAGCATTATGAGCCTAAAGTGGGCGCTCCTCGGGAGTAAAGTGTTGGCATAAATGCAACTCCAAATTGCGCAATAACAAAAACAAAAGAGCTGGTAGGAAGAGCACCAACAAGCAATGATTTGATTAAGCCGGATTTACTCGCAATAAAACATGAGATGTGAAAGAAGATTTCTGTTTTAACAAAAAAAAAAGCTTCCTTATAGTTAGGTTCAAGTCATGTCAGGACCTCGATAAGCATAAAGACAAAAGAAAACAAAAAAGGACAACAAGACGAGAAGAAACGTGTCAAAATAAAAGTTCAAAATAGAACTGGGTTTGACCAACCATTTGATATCATTTGTGTGATAGGAGATGGAGATGGGATCCTCTCTCTTCATTTATGTGTATGTCGACGGCGTGTACACAGTTTGCTATTGGCTAAGCCTGCTCCTCCCAGACCAGCTGTCAATCATCGTCAGCAGAGGATGACGGATACAAAGAGGCAGGAATGAAACTCTCCCAACTGCGTCTGGTCAGTAGGAACCATCGCTGAATCTTGTTGATGCTCGCCCTGCTGACAGTGCACAGTGTGTGCAGGCATTGTATGTACAAATACTGCCAAACTACCAGCGTTAAGGTGGATTACTCCATTAATGTTGTAGCCTGTTTCTCTGAATCTGAAGTAAATGAACACAGATAAATGAGACTCCTTAATTCCTTCCTAATATGTGAATAAAATGAAACAAGTGCAGTTATTCGAAGCAGCGTGTGAATGAATGCATCATCGTGCGTTGAACTTGATCGTATCATTGTCTTCGTATGAGTGTGCGTATGAATAATTCCAGACATGCCGTGGTGTCTGCAGAGCCCCTCGCCCCTGACGGAGGATGAAAAATTCATGCCGGTCTACTTGGGAGGGGACCGACGATGGACCCCAGGAGACGAGGAGAGTGGGTTAAAACTGAAAAACTGATGGCGGAGTCGCATTAAGGCAGACATTGGTGCTGCAGCCTAATTTTCTGCTATGTCCTACAATCTTCAGTCATAAAATATGTCTAGCAACGAGACAAAAGAACTTGGACTTTCAACAAACCAAATCAACATTTGTAAATACAAAAGCAAAAGAACAGCTGGCAGCAAAAGCTTTCAGTGTCACATCTTAAGAAACATTTATATTCCCTTCACTTTTGAGTACTAGAAGCTACATCTGTCACCAGCAGCTTGAGTCTTAACAGAAAAACGTAAATCACAAGAGTGGCACTCTGAACCATCAGAAAGAGGACCGAGTCATCCAGATGAATACAGTTTGTAGAAGGGATGCACAATATTGGATTTTTGGCCGATATAGGATATGCCGATATGTTAAAAGTTATTTGGCCGATAACCAATACAGATTTTTTTTTTTCCTAGACCTACTTACAGAGATTGCATAGCCTTCTCTGCTGTGGAAATAAAGTACTAGGTACATTATTCTGCATGGCTTTTGTCAATTTGGTCTGCTACAAAATGCAGATGCCAAAACCTTTTATATCTGTGAATTATTTTGATGGAAAGGCCGATTTCCGATATTTAACGTTAACGCCAATATCGGGCGATACCAATACCATGCAGATAATATCATGCATCCCTATATAGAATTATACCAATCAGCAGATCTCAAGCAGACAGTGTGAGGTTTGGAGCTATTGTGTGAATTATGAGTAATATTTCTGTTCAAAAAGGCTTTAAATCTTGAATTTGACAAAGCACCGAAGGCTGGGTGAGCTTTAATAGTTTTAACCGATGCAGAAACATTTGAACAAAAAAGTAGGAAGAAAAAAGTTCAACTCTCAGTTTTTTATTTTTATTTTTTTGTTTTTAGGTCCAACCACTGTGTGTTCTGGCTTAACCTTTCCTTCCTCTCTCAGCATGAATTTATGTTGCTTCCTGGTTTATCAAAGCAGTATTCGTTCTCGTTTTGTGCATTTGAACCTGCAAAGGCGTCAATACTTTAACACTGAACTCCCTTTGGGAATTTGCTGACAACGATCTGTGTGAAGATAAAACTCATTTACCCGTAGGGTAACATTTGTGTCGCTCACCTGCCGTTAAGCTGAATCCGATCAGCCAGTTTAGAAAGTTGGTCGGGCAGACGGCGTTGTTTTATTACCCCCTCCGGGCTCACGGACACCTCGCACAGGGAGTAGGTTTCAGGCGCTGCGAGGAAGCCAAACTCGTTGACGGTGTGGGCGACGACATCCTTGGCCGTAGTGTCCTTGCTGATGATGATGTAGCAGCTCTGCTGGTCGGCTTTGAACACCCGAATAACCTGGTCTGGGATGTCTTAAAGAGAAACGGAAAACAAAACAGACTCGTGACTAGTGACCAATCAAAGAAGGTAATGTTAAAAAGACAGATGTGATAAATCAATGTAATGGCATCTAGAATCTATAATTTATGACAATAAGCTTGTTTTGATACTTCTTAATCAAACCAGGAGATTGGTATAAAAATATCAAGGCAGCCATGTTTGAAAGTCACGTAGCATTTTTTATAGAATCAGATCCAATAAAAACTTGAGCTAAACAGCGAAACGACAAATGCACTCATGAAGGTTGAAGAAAAAACTATATTTATGTTTAAATGTCTTTAGTTATGATTAAATGTCTTCTGCTCAGATTGTCCTTTTTAAAAATTAGTTCTTGGAATGAAATTTATATGCATTCCTGTCGTTTTCTTAAGCTTTTACAGACAGTATGAGAACAACTCCTCTGCTCCAACTCAATTTGATTTACAGAATTACTTTCTATCACAAAAAATCACTTAATCTTAATTTTTTTTGTTAACAATCTAATAATTTTGCACATTAAAGGGCTCCAATTTGTGAATAAAGCTATACAACCTCTTAAAACATTAGGTAATATCAAACCAATAAACTTGAAAGTCAACACTTGATTACAGTTTCATGGAGCAGCTACGTGGGACTTCCACGGCAGAATGCACGTTAAATAATGGAGATGTTCTCTGAGTGAAGCGCGGCATTAAAGATCTCTGTGTTTGAGTATTGCAGGGTGTACGGCCCATTAGCCACAGGCTTTAATCGAAGGAGTTATGGGAGCCATGCAGTGACAAGCGGAGACAGTCGGAGAGTCCGATGAAGCTGCTACAGCGAGCGTTTGTTCAGATTATAATACCTAATCATACGATCATTACAGTCGCAGCAGCAGCATAAGAAGAAACAAAGTGCTAAAAGCAAAACCAATAGTGCTACATTAGGTGTTGGTAATCAATCAGCTCTGCTCATTTAAAGAGCTGCATCAGTGAGCAAACTAGATTCAGATTTGTTCATGCCATGTTGTGATGAAGTGCACGTAAGAGGGGTCATTATGCTGCGGCTTTCATTTTCTTTTTGATGCATTTTACAAGAACCCACAAGTGTTTTCTCGTAAAAAGGGTTTTCCCAGTTGTAACATTTACACAAGTGTTTTTTTTCCCCCTTTGTCTTAGGTAATGTTTTGATTTCTTTTTGTAACAGGAACATGAACTTTACCAAGAGCCAACTTTGAATGACAACTTAATGTTGAATGTTTATTTTCATTAATTCACAGTAAATGGTTATTTATCCTTTTTATTTGAGAAATTGCAGGAGTGAAATGCAAGTAATCACTTTTGAAAACCACTTTGCTTTTTGCTCACTTCGAGAATCCAGAAATATTGACGTTTTCTTCTCTTAGTGGACTGTAAACTCATTTATATCCAACATATTTATGCTTTACGTATAGTAAATGCAAACTAAACTTCTTGCTAAAGATAAGATCGGTGTACTCTGCAGCTTTCTTTCTTCTTGGTTGCTGCTGTGAAGGAGAAGTTCAGCTTGCGTGTGCAGCTGGGCAGTGAGCGCAGGTCGACTTGAAACGAAACGCTTTGCGTCTCGTTGGCTGTGATTTGCGATTAGAGCTTGGTGAAGCCTTTAATGAAAAAGCCAGGTATTGTATCCTGTGAAGGGGCAAAGGGTGGTGAGGGGCTAGCTGGAGATACTGCACTTGTGTGGACAAGTATGGTCCAATCACTGTCCTCTCAATGAGACAGTTATATATACTCATGCACCTTTTCTTTAAAAATTAGACATTTTATTTCTAGACTGATGTCAAATATAATGTGTACACAGTGTAGTATTTTTTTTTGTGTAGCAGCAACAGTCCCTCCTTCTCCTGTTTTCTACTGTTTGCTAAAGTGTGTTCCTCTCACTCCATGTTAATGTCAAAATGTCTAAATGTGAAAGCAGCGGAGGGGCTGGACACAATGTCTTCAGGTGGCGACTGCTGGAGACGAGCTGCAAACTCAATTTTGAGTCATTAGCTCTGTGGTCAGGGCCGCGGTCTTATAATCATGAGGTTGTGGGTTCGAGCCCAGGTTGCGACAGGAAGGGCATCCGGCGTAAAATAAACTGCCAAATCTTTAATGCGCGTTTGCTCGCCGTGGTGACCCCTGAAGGAGGGAGCAGCTGAAATGAACTTACTACTGTAAGAAAATATGCACATTTTCAGCTGTCGTCTCGCTAAATTTACAACGAGTGGGCCGTTATTCTACTGGAATACACGTTTGAGCTGAAGTGATGTAGATTTGGAGCAGTGATTGAATCTATCTTACATCGTGGATATTTTCTGCGCTTGAAATGATTTGTCTTTAAGTAATAAAGTTAATGTTTCTGTCTAAAATAAAACACATTAGGAGATTTATATGTAATAAAGTCAAAGTAGGAATCAATACCTTAACTTTGATTTTACAAGTGGCATCAGTGTCTGTTTAATTGAATCAATCCTTAAAATAACTATTTAAAGATTAAAAAAAACAATAAAAGATGTTTACTTTGTCAACTAATAGGATTTGCTATAAAAGGGAGTATCAAATGAAGTATAAACACAACAAGTCTTTACACAGAACCTGGAACAGAGAAGTAACGTAAAAAAAACAGACGGGGGGGGGGGGGGAACAAGAAAGAAGGGACATTTGGGGACAATCAAACAATGACACTGGAGGTAAATATACTTACAATACAGTCCCAATGCTTGGCAAGCAGAGAGGAAAAGGATAAAAAAAGGGAAACGTTGTAATTACACATGGGAAAAAGTTTGACAGCAGCATAAAGAGAGGTTCGGGGGTTGGAAATAACACAACAAACGAAAATAAGAAGAAAAACCCCGCACAGTTTCGTCTGCAGCAGTAATCTGCTGGTGGGAAACCAAAGAGGAAAAACTATGACTCAACATCTCAACACTAGAACATGTGTTTCAAAGCACAAAGCACAAGAGGAGAAGGAAAAAAAACGAAACAGACGCAAAATCACTGAGCAGAGAATCTGAGAAAAAAAAAAAAAGACTTCATAAAAAGCAAATATGAAGCATCAGACGAGAAAACTCAAGTTTATATTTAAAGCATTCATGCTCTGATTCTCTAATGATTTCAGCTTGTGATGTAAGAGATTTATGAGCAACATCATGTGTCACACGTTCATAAATGTTAGTTACCTGGACACTCTTTAGTCTAATAAACAATTAACAAATAGAAGCTGGGCATTATATTCTTTAACAACGTCTGACTTTTAATTTGACTTACCGTAATTTCTGGGCTATTGAGCGCACACAAATATAAGCCACGCCCACTAAATAAAAAATAATTAATTTTGTTCATATATAGGTTGTGCTCGTCTATAAGCCACGGGTGTCCACGTTGTAACATGAGATATTTACACAGAAATATTTTTTCCAACTTTTAATTAAATACGTACCAATAACATACACAACGTATCGTAAATGTTTTTTTTTTTCTGAACAGTACTTGCATCACGGCTGGTTAAAAATAAATAAATACAGTAGTAGTAGGAAGTAGGGGTGCACCCAAATTTCCTTATTTTTAGGAAATCGGCCGATACTTACGAGAAACCGATTTTTTGTTTGTTTGTTTTAACAACAATTGTCTGAACTTCATTTATATTTCAAAGCACTACCTCACAGCCAGTTAAAATAAATTTGTATTGTTTCTAGGATATAGTTCAAGGGTATGTTTTTCAACAAAATAATATTGGTAAATTGAAGGAGCATTGTGACCTCATAACACCTGACAGTGTCACTTATTAAACAAAATCGGAATCGGTAGGTCAGACTTTTTAGAAATGGGTGATCGGCCAGAAAACTGCAATCGGTGCACCCCAAGTAGGAAGTCATTGATGGCTATTTTTATATTCTTCCTGCACAAGCAGGGGAGTCCCCCGTCACAGGA